AACGACCGTTTAAGATAATCGCGTTTAACTACCGCTAACAGGGGGATTCAAAATACAGGCTGCTGATTGGTCAGTTAGCATCAGTGTGTCAATTCATAACTCTCGCCACTGTACGCGATAAACGAACGTAGATTTTCGATCCGGCCTCAGCGTTTCTGCCTTCGTGAAACTTGGCTCCATTCCAGCGCAAGATCAGGACAGTCCCTTGGTGATGTTACGCGCAGGTTACCATAGCAACACAACGATTGCAGCAACAAAAACGAAAAACAAACAAACAACGAAGCATCAGCAGTAAACTACTTACCCGTAGACGTGGAAAATGTGTTAATTCCAGCGGTCGAAAGACAATAATTTCTCGGTGTTGTGTGTGTCTGATTTGTGCCGCTTTGTTGCAAATTTCAATGCGAAGTCCATAATACAGACGGGCTGCAGCCCCACCAACCAGGCAGCCGGTTGGTAGCTCAAACGAACTTGGCAAATCTGTAGGCAGTTTGAATTCAAAATAAAAAACGTGCGTGCCACGAGTCAGAATGTACGGGGAAGCTGAACCACGTCTGCGGGGTTTCGACAGGTTTGTTGCCCCGTCATCATCTGTGGAATGTGAACTTTGACCTTGAACTTGTGCGGTTCTCCCAGCTGTAGGCTCTGCAGAGTACAGTTCAGCAGATTCCCCGCTTAGGACTCCTCTTCGGTGATCCGTGTCTGTTGAATTACTTCCAGTTTCCTCACTAGCCGATCTGTCCCCGATGCTATCTTTCTGCCTGTGAACAGAGTGTCCACTGAGTAGACTTAGCTTGGTGCGATAAATGACCTTGACATCACCACACAGAGTCTTATCTTCCTGGTCCACATCCGCCAAGCTCCTCCACTTCACGCCGAAAGCGCTTGGCCAGCAAGTGTCTACGCAAGGTCTACACAATATTTGACTTGAAGGTCTTAGCTCCCGTGCACTGGGGTCTGTGGTTCGATCGGGATACTTACCCTCCGCACTTGCCCCACTGTTATTACTGCTTTGTTCCAAGGATGCGGCCAGTGTGTCCGTGGTTGAAGTACACGAAGACATTTGTGTGTTGGTTGTGGGCGGTAGATCCGTCGGCCAGTCAATTGATCTCCTGTTCGACGGTGCCGGCTGTAACTCCCATGGGGTACAGTCCAAAGTACCTGCGTAACACAACCTCCCCTTTCGCATTTGACCAAGTTTCTGACAAACCTCGGAACGCACATTGTCCGCGACGGTGTTCAAAACGGCCGCCGTATTGGCACACATGTTTTCTAAAGTCTTGGATTCGCCGAATAAGGACAAGTTGGTTGCTGAACGTAAGAATGGTATGCCACCGGCTACCGAGCCACTCACGTTAACATGCCTTGATTTCTGAGCGCAGTGAGTTCCACTCCATCGAGTCTTGACTAATCCGTACAGCCACAAGGTACAACCTGTTCGGTGAAAAGAGAAACAAGAGGGAACTTGATAAGTTGATAAGATATGAAA